TTAATAGAAAAAAAAAAAATGGATGCTTCTTGAATTCTTCTCGATGACGATGATGATTAATAATAATGATTTACATAACTTTCGTAGAAAGTTCGAAAGACTAACTTTACCGTTAGTCAAATGACGACAAACAACAGGCAACAGGGGTGGAGGAGGGTATATATGATGTTGTAATATTAGCTAACGATGAAACGATGATGACCTAACAGAGAAAGATGGTGAAAGAGAAATGGGGTAGGAGAAGGAAGGGGGATAACCTTATTCACATTTATTCTACATTTATAACTTTGTTCACCTATCATCATCCCTGTTACACCACCATTATTACCACCACCATACTTTATATTATAATTATTACTTTGAAAAATAAAATGATTAATAAACGTATCACCTTGTGTCCAACTTTATCTGTGATACATTTATTCATTTGTTACAACATTATATCTAGGAATAAATAATAAATTAAAGTGAAACGTTAACGAGACAGGTGTTGCGATGATTTTTATAAGTAACGAGTAGTCAACTTGGAAGATCACGAAAGGAAAAGAAGAATTGGTTGGGGGTGGGTTGGTGGGTGTGGGGGAGGACTCGGTTAAGTTAGTTGATTTGCCACTTTTGTGACGGTGATCCACAGACCGTGAAGGAGATGAGAGGACAGACGTAAAGTAAGAAGAAGAATAAGAAGAAGAAGAAGAAGAAGAAGTAGAAGTAGAAGTCTCTCTTTGGATTAACCTTGGACTTGACTCAAAGGAATGCAGCGTACAGTGACCTCCTCTCGTTCCTTCCTTCCTCGGCACTCGCACGTTCTCGCTCACCTTCCTTCCTTGGCCGCCATCGTGAAACGAGAGCCACAGTTAGGTCCACCGTTGTTGGCCCAGTTCATCGACGACGCCCTTCTCTTCTTTCTTATTCTTATTCTTATTCTTCTACTTCTACTTCGTCTTCTTCTTCGTTGCCCTTTTTCATTTTAGTTTTATTTATTCCTTATATATTAAATATATATATTAATTATATAATGTATATATGTCTTTAATTATATTAATATTATATTCTATTATATCCTTAATTATATTTTATACATACTTGTATATATATATATATATCTAATATTATATT